TATTTTGTTGGTCATTTCAAACATTTCTTACTGCAATATTTTGATGAGCCGTTGTTTCATCACTGGAAATCACCGGTGTGCTTTCCCCACGTTTGCTGTCGAAGTTAAGCATATGCATTCCGAGGATCACGAAGTTGTGAAGTTTTCATTGAAAAGTGTGGGAGCACTGCCTCTTCCGAAATTGCCGTTTGTGAAGGCTGCTATTTTAAATAGTACCACCTGACCAGTATCCCGGCATAATTATTCGGGTTTGTTGGCACTCAGTAGCCTTCCAGTTAATTAGCAGCGAATTGTGGCTTGGAGAAAATCAGGTAAAGGGAAATTTGTTGCTGTCTTGTCCAAGCAGAACTCTTTTTTAAGGACCTTTAGCCCTCATCCCTTAGACTTTCGAATCTCCTCAGCGACAAGCACATGAACCAAATAAATTTCACGCCATTCCTCTTCAGCTACCAAGTTTTGGTGTATGGCTACTTCGCCTCACCTTCTCCTCTCACTGGAGCGCATAAAAGAATTTCACAAGTGTCGTGAAGAATTTTCATCAAAGTCAAGAAGTACATCAGTAGTTATTTTAACAGGCAGAAAAATAAGGTTCATAAGCCGTTTAAGGTTAATTTTGTGGAGCTTTTGGAAGACCGCAAAGGGAAGTCGAAAGGTGCTGCAGTTATTGAGTTTCGAGAAAGAGAGTCGGTGCAGCGTTGCGTCGAAAATTTGCATCGTTATCCGCTGAAAGACCGCCTGCTTACCGCCAAGGAAATCCGAGTAAATTCTTTTCACTTCTGTGAAGTTCTTCGGCGACTTGCCCTTGCTTAATCACCTTTAGCTTCTTTTTGGCCTTAGCCGAAATCACGACTACTGAAAGCTCGAAATGAGTCCCTGGTGTGCAGGCTGTGCTTGTAAACCTCAGTTTCTTTGCAGTTTTTTGTTTTCAATCTTAAAATCTTCATCGTCCGCTTGCCAGCGCGTTTGGTAAGGTTTGGAGAATTTCTTCAGGCGCCCCAAAGCTTGTTCGCTGAAGCTTCTGATTTTGTTAGAAGTGCTGTGCAGTTGTGAGGTAACGTACTGCGCTTACTAGCCATCTTCGCATTCGTTTCTGATTTTTTGGCATCAGTTCAGTTTTTTTTTTTCTTATTCTACTTACTAGTCGTTAATTCGATTTCAAAAAAAAATTGGCCTGCATTATCAGGCAGTCCAGAACCGTTAAATCATTTTCTTTCCGGTTTTAATGCGTTTTTGCCGTGCTGCGTTAGAGAGCTGTAACAAGTGGCAAAAACGCATATTGCAACGCCCGTGATTGTGTTTTTGTGTGTATGTTTGTGTGTGTGTGTGTGTGTGTCGTAAAAATGTTGGCGGGAAAATTGCTAACTCTGGAACGAGAAAAGCTAGAAAGCTGAAACTTTGGGGGAATGTTTCCCACTCATGTACGTCCAAAAGCTTTCAAACTCAGCTCCTTAAAACCGCCCGGGACTCACGTACAGGCAAGTGGAAATTATGACGAAAAATTGCTAACTTCTGAACGGGAAAAACTAGAGAGCTGAAACTTTATTTGAGTGTTCTTAAGTGGTTGGAAATTTTTAAGATGCAAACTTTGAAAGTTTGTTTGAAACTATAGGCCCACCGATGAGAGGGACACAGTCGAATATTGACAGTTGTGGGAATGCAGGAAGTGCTAATTTAGGTACCCAAAAAAGCGAGCCTGTATGTGCATTAGTTGTTGTCCTGTCTGTGTTTCATCTCTAAATTGTAAACACAGACGGCAGAGCAGGTGCAGAATGAGGTGAGAATCATCAGTACAGTGCCCCATTCTGCCATGTTTAAACGAATATGTGATTTTCCGAAGGAAGAAAAGAAAGAAGTAGAGGTGACAGTACAGAAAATAACTGTTGCGGAGGTAGAAATAAAAGTAAAACTAACATGCGGCAAATATATCTCCGTCTTCGTTCTTTTCGCCGGTGGTTCACTAGATAATGCCATTTTAGCTAAAAACCATCAATCACATCAAATTAAGCGCATGTATGTTCTGTCAGTGAAATCTGAGTCCAAACGGTGGTGTCCCTATTGGTTTTGTAGGTCCATTATGGACTGATAGAGATTTCTAATTCCCTCGTTATCCGCGTCAACGAATTTGCCTAGGATGGCACGATTCCGGAAACAGGATTTTAAAGGAACTCTCTGTATTATGTTGGAATCATATCCTCAACATTTATAGATTTTACTGAGTCGTCTGGCCCGCCATGTGAGTCTGTGAATTGTACTGCAAATTCTAGCATAGCGGAGCATCTGGGACATAATTATACTTTCATGTATAGTTGTGTCAGCACCACTATCAGAGTAGCTGGCTTGGTTGACGAGAAAGGGATAATCCAAAGTTCTATTGTAAACATCAAACGTGCAACGTCCGTCAACACAGCTGATTGCCAGGTCAAGAAAACAGGCGTACCGTCCGGAATAAGTAGTATTTAGTGTAAGCGTAGTTTCATAAATTTCTTTGGCGTGGTCAGGGAAATCCGGGCAATTGATAGCCAGAATATTGTCAGTGTAGCGGAAGAAGCAGAGCTCGGTATTAGGATGTCTATTAATATAACGGAATTCCATCATGGATAGCATCAGATCCGCGATGTCGTGGCTAGCATTTCCGCCCATGGGAACACCTTGTATCTGTGTGAACAGATATCCACCAAACCTGACATAGGTTTCAAAAAGAATAATACGTAGGATTGCCTTGACTTCGTCTTTACTGTAACAGGCCAAATCAGTGCGAATTTCATTAGTGAACCATACTGATTTGAACCCAACATCCACATATTCCTTACACGCATTTGAGAAACATAGGTCTATTAAATAATTCAAATTGTTGGCAATCTCCGTATGTGGCAAGTTTGTAAAGAGACTGCTAAAGTCCGCAGAGTAAAGGTGACTAATGGCGGAAGTGGAAGCATTTAACCTGTATAGTTCTGTTTGTGAATTCATGTGTGACTAAAAGATTTCAAATTCAACTCTTCTAGTAAGATCTTTTTTGCGCACGAGCAATTTTCCATTTGTCTAGTCACCAAAACCGACATCTACAAGTGATATGTCTCATAGTTGCTCAGTTATCTGAACTTCAAGGGTCAGTATGTCACAAATTTAGTTAGTACAAAAACGTATGATCGCACCGACCCGTCTGGTGTGCTCCAGCCTGGGATTTTCTTTTTGCAAACAGTTGCTGCAAATTACCAAATTCTGTTGAGAACTGTACACATATTTAGGATCCTGTTGCGTTTTTCCGAAAAGTGAAAGAGGACACAGGCATTGATTTCCTGAACAGTTTGCATGGCGGAACTGCTGTTGCTGACACCCGTAGCGCATCCGAAGAGCAATTTGAGACGTACGGTCTTAGTCCGGCATTCCTGCGACAGCTGCATATAACCGGGCCTTTAACTAATCGCGTTTTTGTCTCAAATGTTAGTTTTAAAATGTGTTGTGCCTGAATGTGGTTTTACTCTTTTAATCCATTTTAGCTTTACTTGAATTTTTATAATGTAAATAGCATCCCTAAAAAATAAGTACAGAAAAATGCTTTTTGAGCCAGT